ATGTATGTTGTATCAGTTAGTTAGTTACACGTAGCTAAGATACTGTCATCAATGTACTGAGCATGTGCAGGAATGCAGGAACTGAAATCACATTTCTTTCTCCTTTGTTTCGGATGAGCCATGTGGTCTGCCCATATAAGGAAATCCAAATCCTGTCCACCGATTGGTTAAGGGTATGTGCGGATGGAGCTACTAATGGGGGGAGTTATAGTTCTATAAAAAGCATGTACTCCATGTGTTCGGCCCTCAGACCTGTTTTGGAACGTTAGTTCATCTGAGACCCGATCGGTATGTTAATAAAGACCTCTTACTTCCTGAAAACCTGCATCCATCTCTCTGTGTCTGGCTTCTGCAAGTTTACTCCGTTACAATATAGTTCCATTTTCTTCTCTTTTTCTAACATTCCTTTTCCACTTTCCCCCCCGCCATATTTCTCCCTTCTGCTGTTGCTATATATAGTATATGGGATGTGTTATGTTGACAATTTTATGGCATTGTCCTTCATGCTGTGTTTGATATATGAATACTTAATAAACTTTGATTCACAAACAAAAACAAACTGTAGTTAAAAAAAATACCTCCCAACCGTCCCAACTTCAGCAGGACAGTCTTGATTTTCCCACCTTAGTTCCCTGATGTCCCACTTTTGCAGACACCAGGGAACTATCCACAACAAACATAGAGAAAGCACATAATAAGTTGTGGTTGAGCTATGTTTAGGGCACTAGGACCCTGCAGGGAGCACTGAAACATGAATTCTAAGTGAATTGCAAATAAAGGCCTAAACAACCAGAAAAAAATAATTCTCCAAGTCTGTTTTCTACAGTTAAGCTACCTTGGCCTTTGAATAACCCTCTTATAGTTCATGGAATGTTCTTGTTATTTGTTTGGCCCTCGATCTTCACATAACACCACAGCTCCACCTACTGTTAAAACCGCAGTCTGCAATAATACACGTCTTGTTTTACTTAGCACAAAATAGATATATCAACATCCAGGGGTTTATCTAATTACAGTAAATAAAAAAGGCCATCAACATGCAAGAAACGTAGATGCACCTCACATGAGTTATGTTTTAAAGATGGTATTGGTTGATAACATCTCAGTCTGTTATTGTTGAAAAATAACCAGCAATGGCCGACCTCAATCTCCAATTATAGGCCCCGGGCTTCACAGATCTTCACCAGACCAGTCTCACACTGTACAGGTTGCCCATCTGGTATGCAAGGGAGGGCTGGCAATTTTTGGACCAGGGGTAATAATAATAAATGAATTTTATTTTTAGCACAGCTCACAGATCCAGTATCCATAGTCCATTTTATGGGGTGCATGAAATATATACAGATTTCAAAGATGAAGACTGCTTAAAGGACCACTATAGTGCCAGGAAAACATACTCATTTTCCTGGCACTATAGTGCCCTGAGGGTGCCCCCACCCTCAGGGTCCCCCTCCCACCCGGCTCTGGAAGGGGGAAAGGGGTAAAAACTTACCTTTTTCCAGCGCTGGGCGGAGAGCTCTCCTCCTCCGATCCTCCTTTTCTCCTCCCCGTCGGCTGAATGTGCACGCGCGGCAAGAGCTGCGCGCTCATTCAGCCGGTCACATAGAAAAGCATTCATAATGCTTTCCTATGGACGCTGGCGTGCTCTCACTGTGAAAATCACAGTGAGAAGCACGCAAGCGCCTCTAGTGGCTGTCAATAAGACAGCCACTAGAGGAAATAGGGGAAGGCTTAACCCATTCATAAACATAGCAGTTTCCCCGAAACGGCTATGTTTATGAAAAAATGGGTTAACCCTAGCGGGACCTGGCACCCAGACCACTTCATTAAGCTGAAGTGGTCTGGGTGCCTAGAGTGGTCCTTTAAGTTATATGTGAAATTAAAACGGGGAAGGCACACCCGGAACATGCATTTTTTAGGAATGGTGCTGCCGTAGAGACCAACATATATATAATACAGAATAAGGAACAGCGTGCACATAAAAATACATCTTTACATGTTATAAGGCTACTTAGAATCTCCACCTTGGCAAACAAATATAGGGATTCAGTCCCACCATATGGCCATATTGTGTTAAGCCCACCTCTACTTCACAGTACCCCAATATCGCTAGGTCGTACACTAATTCAAATGTGGGAGACAAATTAATTAAATAGTGCTAAATAAACAAAAGTGTATTTTAATACTATATATTGCAAAATGAATGTGATGAAAACGCAATTCAAACAAATCTAAAGCTTCACTTTTGAAAAAGCCACGGCGAAACGCGTCTAGTGAGGAAGAACTATTTGACTTTTCTATTCAGACTGGTATTTTATTATTAAATACAAGAAACTACCGGCCAAAGAAAACTCTGGCAGGAAGTGAAAGGGTTACAGGGGTAGTAAAGGGCATAACCCTAAATATATAGAAAAAACAGAAAAAGTAATGAGGAGAGCTCCTCGTAAAGCCGGGATATTTCTCCTCACCACTACTACCCCCGATAAATCTCAGGTAATAATGGCTTAAAAACTGACAACCTTTATTGAAACAAAAATAATAATAATATAAAAAAACCCACACACACAAAAAAAGCACCCATTCACCCTAAATTGTGAACAGTTAAAACGTAGAGACTAGAGACTACAGGTCTAGCTGGTAAAGTATTCAGGCAAATTGCTTGTATAGGCAAGTATATAACAATGTATCAGAACAATGCAGTTTATGTATAATTGTATGAAACAACTGAATACAGTTGCAAAAAGTGTATACCAAAAAAGTCCAGCCTGTTGATAGTTAATTACAGCCAAAAAACAGCAATAAGCCTTCCCCTAATGGGTTAAAATAGGGAAAAATGAACTTAAGTAACCTCTTCAATAGAAATCCCTGATTTAGATATAGGAAAAAATGGACTTAGGTAACCTCTTTAGTAGAAATCCCTGATTTAGATATCAGCTTCCAACAACGAAAAAACTCCTTGTATTTAATCTAGCAGAAGTTAAATCGAAAGGATAGGGAGATAAGGGATAGAGGAAACAGATAGGTTGGAAAAAGTGCTATCTAGACAGGGTCCAATATAAAAAAAGGGGGCTCTGTCACCGCACAAACTTAGATCCCTATAGTATACAGAGAGACCGCAAAAATAGAGGATCTCTCAGTGGGGGATGTCCCGCAGGCTGTAGTCTCAGTCAAAAAAACGCCAAAATCATCAAATCATAACTATGTAGTCATAAGTATATACAGAAGTCGCCCAACGTGCGTTTCGGCGGTCTAACCGCCTTTCTCCAAGGGCAGGCAAATGGCAATAAAATTCCCTCCCCTCGCTTCTTAAATATCATAAGGCCCTCCTACCTGTCCACGGGAGGACGGGTTTAGTCACGTCCGCCAAGCGATTGTTCACAGCCGGACAAGAGATATGTAATCACAGCCCACAAGTGAAGTGCGCATGTCCGCGTCAAATCGCGAGCGCATGCGCAAACACTTAGAATTTGAACTTGAGTATAAATCTTCATAAAGACAGAAGTGAATCTCACTGTATAGGGATATTATTCAATAAGTTGGGTGTAAAGAGAACCATATCAATCAGATATCCATAGGTAGGTATATCATCCCTATAAATTTAAAGAAACCTTTATGCATATAGAAAAATAGATTTCCTTCTATGAATATATCAAAAAGGTGAGGCTTACATATAGGACCATTTCAATTGGACATCATTTGTACCCACTCCTCCTTTTGACAGATTTGGTTGGATTAAAGACCTCCATCTTTTTATTCGCAAATTGGCTTTACACAAATTCCATTCTATTCAGAATGAGAAAAAAGCCAGAGATCTTGGACTTATTATCAGTGCCTGACTACTCTTTTGTCCCTTTTGGATGAAAACGATCCAAGTACCACTCAAAATTATACTGATCTGAAACCTAAAAGTCGCTACACACCGAACTTTGCCGGCTTCAGAAACATTGAACTGTTTCTTGAGGCGGCTAGGAATGAGATTGAAAAGATCAATCTTAAATCTCTTCACATCCACTCGAACGACAACCTCCATAAAAAAGAACAACGGGCTTTGAAATCCCTTCAAAATGATGCTGGTATTATCATTAAACCAGCGGATAAGGGGGGCAATGTCGTGATAATGGATGTGAATAAATATGTTGAGATGGTGGAACGTGTTTTGGGTGACACTGAGACGTATAGAATTATAAAATCTGACCCTACAAACGAGTATCTTATGAAATATAAAGAGATCTTGGACGATGGCCGCAGTGGAGGGTTGCTTAACTCTTTAACTCTTCTTAACTCTTTATTTTTTGTCCCCCCCCCTCCCCTCTCCCTTTGTATATACGTCACTAAAAGATATCTATTGACAATGTGGATGTGACTATATACATTGGCCCTCCATATTAATACCTAAATGGATGAGGGAGATTTCCCTCTAGCACTATATCTATGGATGTAGGTGTCTGTATATATACATATATATATTGGTTATTCCACAGAAATAAGGGATCTATACCTGTCCATAATATTTTATTGGAACAAGAATCCTATGTCCAATTGAAATGGTCCTATATGTAAGCCTCACCTTTTTGATATATTCATAGAAGGAAATCTATTTTTCTATATACATAAAGGTTTCTTTACATTTATAGGGATGATATACCTACCTATGGATATCTGATTGATATGGTTCTCTTTACACCCAACTTATTGAATAATATCCCTATACAGTGAGATTCACTTCTGTCTTTATGAAGATTTATACTCAAGTTCAAATTCGAAGTGTTTGCGCATGCGCTCGCGATTTGACGCGGACATGCGCACTTCACTTGTGGGCTGTGATTACATATCTCTTGTCCGGCTGTGAACAATCGCTTGGCGGATGTGACTAAACCCGTCCTCCCGTGGACAGGTAGGAGGGCCTTATGATATTTAAGAAGCGAGGGGAGGGAATTTTATTGCCATTTGCCTGCCCTTGAGAAAGGCGGTTAGACCGCCGAAACGCGCGTTGGGCGACTTCTGTATATACTTATGACTACATAGTTATGATTTGATGATTTTGGCGTTTTTTTGACTGAGACTACAGCCTGCGGGACATCCCCCACTGAGAGATCCTCTATTTTTGCGGTCTCTCTGTATACTATAGGGATCTAAGTTTGTGCAGTGACAGAGCCCCCTTTTTTTATATTGGACCCTGTCTAGATAGCACTTTTTCCAACCTATCTGTTTCCTCTATCCCTTATCTCCCTATCCTTTCGATTTAACTTCTGCTAGATTAAATACAAGGAGTTTTTTCGTTGTTGGAAGCTGATATCTAAATCAGGGATTTCTACTAAAGAGGTTACCTAAGTCCATTTTTTCCTATATCTAAATCAGGGATTTCTATTGAAGAGGTTACTTAAGTTAAGTTTTCCCTATTTTAACCCATTAGGGGAAGGCTTATTGCTGTAATTAACTATCAACAGGCTGGACTTTTTTGGTATACACTTTTTGCAACTGTATTCGGTTGTTTCATACAATTATACATAAACTGCATTGTTCTGATACATTGTTATATACTTGCCTATACAAGTAAATTGCCTGAATACTCTACCAGCTAGACCTATAGTCTCTAGTCTCTACGTTTTAACTGTTCACAATTTAGGGTGAATGGGTGCTTTTTTTGTGTGTGTGGGTTTTTTTATATTATTATTATTTTTGTTTCAATAAAGGTTGTCAGTTTTTAAGCCATTATTACCTGAGATTTATCGGGGGTAGTAGTGGTGAGGAGAAATATCCCGGCTTTACGAGGAGCTCTCCTCATTACTTTTTCTGGTATTTTATTATTATATGTATATTCGTTTTTTCACTTTTTATTTTATTCAATTAAAGTATATATACTCTATGTAAACCCAGTCTCTATAAGTCCTACTTCCTATTTTATTTTGCTGCTGCTACTTTTGGGTCCTCTATATCCCTAGGTGGGGATTGTTCCACCTGAAGCTGTTTACACTAGAGCAGGTCTATTGCTCTAGTATATGTAAGTAGGATCATCTTTATATACTATATACTTACATGTACTATTTACACTATTAGTGTTTCTTTTCTTTCCTGTTTTATATATTGTGCAAGCTCATCTCTATAAGCCTACCAGGAAGATCTCATATTAAGAAATCCACAGATCAAAATACGGTTAAGCAACCTGGAGAAGGAAGCCCTAAACTGCAGAGCCAAGCACCAAGCATCCCGACCGAAATCAGAGGCTTCTAACCAGGGATAGACCTGAGGCCCACCAGAGGCCTACTCGGACAAAACGAGGGAGGCGGCCGATCCCTACGCTGACCGCAGCCACTCACCTGGAGGTCTCCCCGGCAAACTCCCTCCCCCCCCCGCCGGTGAGGGATATCCCGGCAACTACAGCTTGAGACACATAGGCAAAACTGCAGCGGTGACTGTCCCACACAGCCAGAACAACGCCAGCAATCATGGCCAGTAACCCTCTGAACAGCGCCCCGCTGCCCCCTCTGGAAGAAAGGCTGGATCGCCTGTTTGCCGCCTTTTGGGCTAAAATATACCAACACGGAGACATAACAGTGGAGACCCCACCAGCAGCAGGCCGGGAAGAGGCCGGGCAGAGACCCGCGGCCCCCTTTCAGGGTATCGGCAAGGCTGAAATGGCGGGAAGAAGGAGATGGACGACTCGACGCAAACCTCGACACCGCAGACCAAGACAAGCAGTGAGTCGTCCTACTCCACATCAGTGGCTACCCCTCGGCAGCCTCACCACACTCCCGAAGACCAGTACCCGCCATGTGGAGAACCCACATAAGAGTCCGCGGAGACTTAAAATGGAACCGGGCCGTACACCCACAGCGCCCCGGAAAACCCCTGCCCACGAGACTGACCTGCCTCACACGCTGATGATCAATGCGGCTCCCAGTCAGACACGCTCTCCAGCTCCAACACCCCTACACAAGCGGGGCATCGGCTGAAATGACCACACCATAGAGGTATCAGCCCCACACTGCGAGATGCAGACAGGGTGGAAGATTGGCGCAGAAGCCGCACATACTCGCAAGCTGGGACTCTTTCCTGCGAATACTGATCTGGTATTGCCTGACACGCACCCCTAACGTGACTTTGTGTAGCATCTTATAATGTATAATGCTCATCTACTAAACATGTATTTTGATGCATACTGTGATAGCTAACGCCAAGGACAGCCTGTACCTTCTAATCCTGATAACCTAACACTGACAAACCATAATCTTTAACGCAGATCCAATGTTGTATTGGGGCATTCTGTCCTCGCTGTATTCATTTTTATTATACCGATAGATCAGACGTGCCTAGCAGCTAGCAAGTTCTACTTTATATAATCTATGTCAAGAAAGTTTAGCCATGACCACTGTGATAAACGTGTCATTTTTTGATAAGGATACGCTGAACCACAAATGGCGAATAAGTAATGGCGGAATTAACCCCTTCACCCCTACTCGGCTACTAAGGCAGGCATACTTTAACTCACGACCATACTCAAAATGCCTATGTACCCCATTAGCGTACACCTGAACAGCAAATACATAAGTAATTACAGTCATGTATTGTCTAGCATGTTACTCCACATTTAACTACTATAGAAGCAAGCCTATTCATGTTTTACCCATTCTCCCTAGTAATCACAGTACTGGACTATCTAGCACGTTACTCAACACTTGGTTAATACTCTTTAAAAGTAAAAAATGTGCACATGTCATTCTGTACCCCAATGTTTCATATGTTGATGGAAAAAGTGAGTGGATTGCCTTTGGGGCACCACAAACCTGATTGTTAAGCCTATATGCACGAAAAATAAAGAATTATAAAAAAAAAAGAAATCCACAGACGGGGATTATTCCGTCCAGGTCCTTCTAACTGAGCTGATATAGCTCTTTAAAGTGTGAGTTTGGATCATATATTCTTTCTGCTTTTATTTCACTGTTATTACATATTGCACTATTATTATTTTTTTGCTCTGTTTGAAGCCATATCATTGCCAAGTACCATCTACCACGTATGTAACGTATATATTTTTATGTATTGTTAGCGCTGTTCACCTTTTTATTTTATATATCTGTTTTGTTTTTTCACAAGGTATGGGGAACATCTTGTTGGTGAATTGCAGCTCATTTATAGATAGAAGGCACTTATTCTTGTTTTTTATACAAACAAATCTAATGTCAGAACTAAACGATTAAATTGATAGTGCTGTGATGTGTATAAATGCACATCATATATCTGCTCTATTAAAATTATAATTAAAGTGACATTACTATGCAAAACCTCATGAAATGCACACTGTCCTGTGGTCATCTCATATATTCCAAGCAATCTCCATCAGTATGACCTGCACTGAATGAAGAACCATTCACAAAAACATGCATGACTAAGAGACGCAGATTTTGTTTCCCACCATCTTCATTGCCAACATGTTATGAATGTCCGCCATCTTACATTGGGGTCAAAGACAAAGAACTCCAGGGACATAATACACACTCGTTTGGCAGTCTGGTCAGCTTCAGACATTGTAGTCCAGTAGGCCATTCAATCTTGAAGAGCATTGAGGGCACAGGTCACAAGGCCTTCACAAATCTGCACGGTGTTGAACGGCCAAAGGCCCTGCACAATCCCTGCTTGCTGTCTTAGTACTCCTGCAGAACTGTTCAAAGAGATATACCCTCACCTCCTGCTATTTTCATTTTACAAACAATGGTTTGAGGCTGCACGTCACAACCCCCTTGCCAGGTTTTCTATACCAGTGGCTCGGAGCAATATTTTGAAGAAGTATGGATTCCGTAAACCAACTGGTTGATCACAATGTGCTTGGTAAAAGACTTGGACACGGACAGGATTGCGAACATCAATGGCAAGAACACAGGAACATTCATCTGGACAATATCTCTTTTAATATATAAAATATTACCGGCATATGAGTTGGTAATCAAAATTTGGTTGCAAAAATCTGGTGGTTATGGTGCCAAGAGTGCCCCACTGCAAGCAGTCAAATGGTTTTAGAGCACGCTCCTGTTCTCCACTTCTTCTCAGCCTTCAGGAAATCCAAAAGTTCCTGAATAGGAGCTTCCAATATCTCTCCTGAACTAAGCCGTGTAGTGCAGAATGCATTGGCTGAGACAGTCTGAGCATCTAAGTGGGTAGTGTAGTGGTTATGGTGCTTTTAGTGTTCCTATAAATTATTCAAATAACCATTTAATGTTTGTTAGACTTATCTATCACTTAAACTAGAAAACAGTTGATGTACATCAATAATTCACTGAAGAGCTGGAACATATGTATTTACTGGGGAGGGGTAAGCAGATGATTAAACACACCCGTACCTTTACTGTATTTCAGGATAATCAGCACCATCATCCTCCAAAGATCACCTACTTGTGGGTGAGCACTTGCCTTGTCCTGTTTAAAAATTAAATTCTTAAAAGATATATATCTTATAGCAATATTTTCTCCAAGTGCTATAAAAATGAAAACACCTCGTATTAATGGAACATTCACGAATTGAATTGTACGAGTAAAGAGAAAATGCACATTTTACTACTAAATGTGGTAAACCCGCTATGAGGGATGAGAGGGACGTAACCAAAGCTGGACAAAGTACTGAACTTCCTAAATGTTTTCAGTTACCACCGCAGATCACATGTATCACTGGAAAAAGGAAACCACAAAATTAAACTTTTGCGAAACAATATTCAAACTCACTACTTAGAAAACCTTTTTTGACTTTTCATTTATTTTTTTAAATTTATTTTTATTTGAAATCTTGGAATTAAATTAATGCATTACATATTTTTTTCCATTTTAAATATTTTAACAATTCTTACATTAGCTTACAACACCGCAAGTCTACACCCAGCTTTTATCTGTTTTCTTTATCATCATTTTTGAACTTTTTTTCTGAAGCCAACTTGCATACTCATGTATTTTCCACTCATGAGCGTGCGCAGGGGCCTGTGGCAGTTGTGTCTGGGAAGGTCCTAACGCAGGGTCAAAATCTCCTCCCTGTCCACTGTTTCAAACTTGTGCATTAATGCTTTTCACCTAGTACAAACTAATCAAGTTCCTTTTAATCTATCAATTAACTGATCCATCTGGAATTTACCAGGGTAAATCCTGGACAATCAATTCATTTTGGTGTAGATAGAATGGAGTTTGATAAGTCCATACCAGCTGAAAAGCATTAATGCACAATTCTACCCTGTTTTGGTGTCTGTGCGCACTTTTGCATGATTTTGGGTAAGCTTGTTATGTTTTTGAATATAAACCATGTTCAAACCTTATCATTTAGTCAAACTATATATATACATCTATGTACCCACTGTAAGAAATTTAAATAAAAATTCTACTTCTGTAAAGGTTAATTTAAGCATATTGCCATTTTGCATACACTTTAAAAGTTCTGAATGATATGAATGTTCTATAGTTTAACTCCTGTATAAATACTTTGCCACCATCAGCCAGAAACTGAAGGCAGAAACTCAGGAAATCTAATTTGTACTCTAATCCCCTTTCATGGCTAACTGGCTTTACACCTAGAACCTGCGTAATGCTTGTGGGGTAAATAATTAATGACATATATAATTAAAAAAAACTAAAGATATGCTTTACTAGAATAATACACAGGTGTATTGTGTGTCAGACTTATCTTGTGATTATAATGACCGCTTGGTCTCTTTAGTCTTGTGCAATTCCTTACAAAGCTACTTGTTGTATTGCACTTGTAGGCATTAACCAATTTGAAGTGGTCATGGTGCTTGGAGTCTATGTGTGCAGAGTTTTGGTTCGAAATACTGCACATACATCGATAAGCACTTTTTGTAATTCCATCTATGACTGCACCATTAGAGTTGGCTGATCGTCATTCTGTGCTTATTAGGTGTTTATCATGAGCATGCTGGTGACAGACGACCAATGGAATCATAACCCCCTTTTCCATACCATCCTCGTTCTCCCCTCAGCCCATCCTCTGGGATGTCTGCTGTCACCAGAGGAGTATCGACCTGCAGAGGGGACTTGGCCTTGGCACTAGATCACATGTAATTTAATGCTTCAAGTAACTGCAAGTGGCGAAGTCACCATCGGGGGTCTTTGTATGTTTTGCAAAGACCCCAGAAAGTGACAGAGTCACTTTAATTTTATTTTTCACATCTCACAAATAAATAGGTGTGAAATATAGAGATAAGTTAACAAAATACTAAATAAAGTTTCCCTATAATGCAGTGGTTTTGGTGCGTAGATGCTTGTAATATTTGCATATGTAATTTCCAACCAATCACATTTATTTTCACCTCACTGCTGTATTTAATAAACCGTC